TTGTTGCTATCAGTTTGAAATTATGTGATTTATTTAATATCATTATATTTTAATAGGGAGATATAGCTCCCGGCTTCTCAAAACTGAGCTTTACTCTACCTAAATTACACTTCTCTACATTACTGCACATATAAAAATCTACTTACGCCTCATCCTTGAAATTGTTTGTAAATCTTCCAAGAATAACAGCAATTTTCTACAAATGTCCCATTGGAATTCTTAAAATCGCGTTAAAGACACGTGGGTTTCACGAAAACCCTTTTAGAATAAAAGCCGGTTGTTCTCTCGCTCGATCTCTGATTGCAAGAAAAAAGTCGAGAAAACTGTCGGGTCACTCCAAGCTACCGATGGACCGCCGAAGTGTCCCGAAAATTCCCCGAAGCGTATTCTCCTTTTGCCATGATTGCTAAATAGTCTTGCGTTTCTTTAGTCTACTATCAATTTCGTCGAACGTTGTCTTTCATTCTTTTTTTCTTTCTTTCTTTTTTTTTTTTAGACAAACTCGAGGCCTTTCCGATAAATTCGGTTACTTACGTTCGAGATGTCGTGTAAAACTGCGTCCAATTTACTCACTTCGGAGCGGAGCAGATCTAAGCTGAACAAAAAACGCTAAAGCCGTCTAGGTTGCACGACGCTGTTGTTGTTGAGGCGCGTAGTCGTCTGATTGTTGAAGTTCTCGTCCTGTGGTACGTGCTCGGTGCGCTCGTCGAAAAATCCCGGATTCAAAATGATGTTGGGTACGAGCTCAATCACCTCCTGCTCCTCCAGCTGCGCTGCAATTTCGGAACGGAGATTAATTTTCATTAGTCTGGGCCACGGGTCTCATTAGCTTCTACCCTCTCCCTTCACCGGTTTTTCTTTGTCAGGTATTGTAAAACATTTTACGCCGCGGAATTTCGTGTCGACCACTGTTTTCCAAAATTATTTCTAGTTATCGACAATTCTATTAATGCGTAATAATAGAGTACCAGATTCCGTTGCCAAATCGAAATGCCGTTTGCCTGACAAATGAACCTGCTACCTTTGACCTACCTACCTCGACATACTGCCAAAGATCTCATCGGTATTACTTAACTAAGATCATGATGCTTTCTATGACTATCGTAAGATTTACTATTCATTCATCATCACTAAGTTATTATCGGCAGGCTGATTAACATTATGTACAGCATAAGTAATATCTAATCGGTATGATAAGAGAAAATATTCGTATTGAAAAGTTTCAGTAACCAGACAAGTAAATTTGGCGACAGGAAAATTATATTGAGAAATTTGAGATTTTCATTCCAATAAGTGCCATATATCGTAAAAGATAAAAATACTGATGGTTTACTTATGTGCTTATTGTTAGTGTTCAGTGCGGCAATCTGAAAAGTGTTGTATTAATATACTTGATGAGATGAGATCTCCGTTAAATGCTGTCTCGTATTTGTCGGTAAATATGTTAAATCTAATGAGAAGTTTTGCAAAAGGTGCTCAGAGTACACAGAAACGAGATATCATAAAAGTATTAGTAATTTCGAAAAATATGGCTGTCGCATAATACAGAGAAGCCAAAGATCAGAAATATAGATAAGTCAACTAGCCGGCTAAAATACTAACAGGTCCTGTTGTTTGTCAAATGATGTATGTTCTTCAGCTAACTTACACGAAGTCTTCTATGGAGAGAGAAAAACGACTTTCTCGAGCATCGTGCTTATTAGAGAGGCCATGAATGTTAATGATCATCGCCAGCGAAAAGAAGTAGTAGTAGTAGTAAGTAGCAGCAGTAAAGAGACAGAGTAGAAGCGGAAGCTCTTACGTTACGGTTATCAGATAGGATGCTTACAGGGTGCCTTGCACTCGCGATACAGTAGGTAACATGTACCTAAACCAAGAATCATAAGTGTGCCCATCACAATACCTACGGCTGCCACCCAGACGCGCGGATCGAAATTCTCTACGCCGGCTAAGAGGTGTCTTTCGAGCTCTGAAAATTAGTTATGTTGCATAATAAAGTTGCGTTAGTCTTAGCTTAGATACTGTACAAGGAAACGCTTAATCGAAACATATATCTCTTACGATTTCTGTGGAACGTGTTATACATGTAGGATGTGCCAAAACTATCGCCGTTCATTAAAATTACATACTTATAAAAGGATTTAATTTAAACGTACCTCGATATTCAAATAAGCAACTTTCAAAGTTTGATATAAAAAAAGCCTTTTAATTTTATTCTTAATTTACAATAGCGGCGACAGTTTTAGCTACAGCTCTATACACGGTTTCGAATTTTATTTTATCCCAGTGATAAATCTCTATATATAAGAATCGCGAAGTAATTCTATAATAATAATTGCAACAAAATACCAAATTCTTCTATAGTGTACTGCGTATGACCCTCGACTTCCACGACTTCTCCTTTTCCCAGCTGATTGGTTGCCCACACTCGAAACGAGTACGTAGTGTTTGGCATCAAATGATACACATCTATTTGTCTCTTTAAAGCAACGAAACACAATCGTTAGTCTTAATTCAATTAATCTCTCTTTATACAAGGGATGGAATAACTCTGTAACGTTATATTAAAAATATTTGTTCTTACATAATCTAGCGAACAATTGAAATTGAAACAGATACAACATTATAAAATAACGTTACGCTGTTGCAATAATTGCAGTATTATGTAACGTTATCGAGTTATCCCGTCTTGTTGTTTAACATCCCCGTTTTCTGTTATAATCTCGAGATCGGGGTACTTACAGAATTTGGAGGAATGTGTATTGGACTAATGGGCTTCCATTCTTCCGGTTCTTCGCCCGCCACTGGTTTCAGACGATATTCGGCAGTGAAGTCTATGATAGGATATCCGCCGTTATATCCCACCTCCCAAAGAATGTTGGCCAATATCGTAGATGGCTTGACCCATACATTTTGCAGGGCTGAAGGAGGTGCTAAAGAAACAAACAAAAAAAAGATACGTTAAAATAAAATCTACGGCTATTATAATCTATTATAAGATTCTTGAATCTAAAATCTAATTTATTATAATTTTCCAACGAATCTAAAACTCGTGTAACTCATTGGCTATTTTACGTGAGTTTTAGATTAATTGGAAAATTTTAATAAATCAGATATGTATCAATTGTATTTAAAACCTAAAACGCTACTACATATGCGCGATTGCGAATTGTCTTGTTAAGACGGCCGAGTAACAACGTACTTCTGACCGTCACGTTGATCATAGTTTTCACAGTGTCGAGATCGTCGTCGAAGGTGCACGAGTAATTGCCAGCGTCGTCCACGCTGACGTTTAACAGTTTCAGCATGCCGTTTGGTTCGACTTTCAGCCGCTCAATCTGCCCGTCCTCCCGTCCCTCCCTTATCCACATCACATTGGACGCCTTGGAATGCGGGAGGTCATTGTCTTCGGTGCAGGCCAATGTCATGTTACTACCAACGTCCACGGCGACGTGCCGCATCGGCACCACAGCCACTGCTTCCTGCCATCCTGCAAGTTCGCGCATACTCGTTAACTGTTGTCTTGTACAGCTGTCAAACATAGTGATGATAATCACTAATAACCGCTTAGACCAGTTTCTACATAATGTCCATTTCTACTAATACAGATTAACTTTAATCCTAGTTTAACTTACTTTTTATCCTTTAATTGTAAGAATTGAAAAAAGATAAAGAGCAAGTTGAACCAAGACTAAAAGTTAATCTACATCGATACATAAATGGACATGAGTTATCAATTGCTCAAGAGATCTGAATGAGTAGATTGACAAACAAATTTATTACATCCAATAGAAAGGTTTGCTCTGTCAAGCACAGACGCGCAGCGCAACAAGTAGCCACCGTAGATGAATATGCAACACTACATAAAAATTATACAGATTATAGAGACCTAAGATCTCTTCGTTTTAATCGCATTTCATTTCCTTCGCCTCCCTTCATAAAATGTGAACGCTGAGCTCTTTTTTTCAGGACGAATTAATTAAGATGAACCTTTAGCCGTTGCGTCACGCAACAATTTGACGAGAATAAATTCTAAAAAAAAGACTATAAACCCGTTCTTTCACGCTGGAGAGAAAAAAAGAAAAGATGAACCGTCCGGGAAGCGGCAGGAACAGGAAGTTCAACTAAACAGACTTATAAAAAAATCAATGAGAGAGAAGAGGAAGCGGACACAACGACAACAATCGAGATCTCGACAGGTGGTTCCGCGGATCGCGTGCTCTGCCATTGCTCGCGCGGTGACAAGCGACGCGGACGGCGTGATATCCTCTTTACATAACTGACCCTGAATCGTAACGATCGTCCGCGCGTCGTGCTACGTACTATAGCCGGCTGCGGATCGCATGATCGTCGGATATAGATCGCATTGTTCCATGACGGAAGCGTCTCTCTCTCTCTCGCTTCCTCCTTCCCTTCTTTTTTCTCTCTCGCTTCTCTGTCTCTTTCGCGCTTACTACTCGGCGACGTTCTTAACGTTCTTACCTGCCAGGAAGAGCATCAGCAACGGTAGCAATTTGCGTTCGTCCATTCTGCCATAATAATGCACCTGAATTCCTCGGCGAGATCCGTCTCGTTTCGTCACGGGGCTCTCCTCGACCGCATCCCTCTCGCTGTCATGACGGACATGGACGGACAGTCGCTCTCGCGTGCGCTCTTCGTTTATTCGCAACAATCCCGAACAGTAGCGCAGTAGCGAGGGAGTAAAGGAGGATGAGGGAGAGGGAGGAGAAGGAGGAGGAGGCGCGTCACTCGGTGTCGATCGTCGCCGCCGCCGTCGCCGACGCCGTCAAATCCATCGTATACGTCGCTTCACGCCGACCATTCGTCACCAGCGATCGCTCTGACGCCCTCTCCGCGGAGCACCGCGCCCGTCCGGCGCGCCGCCCTATTTTATTGAGTCGCGCCGCCGCCCACGCCCCCTGGCGAGTCCTGCTTCACCCGGCGTCGATAAGAACGGGATCTCCTCTCCGTCGGTAATCCGTCGAGGTGCACTCACACTCTCCACGTGCGGAAATCGCAGTGATGATGGCGATTCACTGGATTCACTCCGAAACTACAAACTCCGACTCGACACGAAGTGTTGTTGGTGTCTAACGTGATAATTATTGGGGAAGCCGAACATCTGGAAAACTGGGAAATTGAATTTTATAAAAATACAGGTAATATAGGATATGTATCGAGCGATACTCACTTCGTGGGTTTTTTTATTCCTCTAAAAAAATCGACTATTGCGTGTAATGTCATTTGATCGCATGATTTAGGTCCACGTCAGTCCATGAATTTAAGTGAATGTCGCGACGCAGTCTGCGAGATGAAAGGGAAGAAAACCCGTTATGAGAGCCCATTGAAAGGATTCAAAAAAAGGTGATGATTGACAATTGGATTTTTATATCGAGAGACGCGGAGGACTGATGATTATTATTTAGTTTAGAGGAGCTTACGAGCATCGTAGGCGATATCGTGTGCCAGAAGAGGTTAGGTCATGGAACGGTGGAAAAGTTAAAGGAACAAAGTGCAACGGACAGCTCCAGCAAGGATTCCTCGTCGCAGAATAATGTAATTGTAATCAATGACAGTGACAGTGAAACATCCGAAGGGGACAATGACAACGAAACAAATGATAAAGATGCAGACACTTCGCTCAGTGTCATTGAATGCATCTCTAAACCGTCCCCGTCTCCAAAAAGACGGCAAAGAAAACTGATAATCCATACCAGGCGGAAAAAGAGTAGACCGTCTATAATACCACTCGACACAATGGGTAACGATTCGTCTGTCCTTGATTTGTCAGTTTTGCAAGAATCATTAAACGAAGAAAATATAGGTGAGTTGACTCCGCTTGATTCTCTTTATAAGAAGAGATTTTGATAAGAAAATCTATTTGACTTATGTCCATTTCTATCAACGCAGGTTAATTTTGATCTTGGTTTAACCCTAGACAGACTCACTGGGGTAATACGTTACCCCACGCGAAATTCAAATTCGCATCATTTCAGCCAAATTTTTGGTTCTTCGTTTTGTTTTTCGAAATTTTTTTACTGTTTTTTTTTTACTACCGCAAATTGATGACTACTATCATCTTCCCTATTAAACAACAAACAAAATTATCTATTATAAAGTTTTCTAAGAACATTCTGGAAATATTATACACGCGGTACGAGTTTGGGGTAACGTATTACCCCAGTGAGTCATTCACGTATGAGAAAAATAAGTGAATCTGTCTAGGGTTAACTTACCTGTCATCTTTTCCTAGTTCTCTAAAAGTTAGAAAAAGATAAAAAGTAAGTTAAACCGAGATTAGAAGTTAATCTACATTGGTAGAAATGGGCATTAGACCCGGTTGCACCAACGTCGCATAACATTTGATCTTAGCTTAACTCACCCTTTGTCCCTTTCTAAGGGAATAATTAGAAGCAGACAAAGAGTGAGTTAAGCTAAGGTTAAATATGCGACGTTGGTACAACACCAAGCCTTAATACTGTTCTAAAATGGTACTATATCTCGTGATATCTAGCACCAACCCAAACGGAGGATGACGTGGTTGAATTGTGGTCGTGTCTGGAGAAACCAGTGAAGAAAATGAGGGTAAAAAGGAAGTCTAGTTGCGCCAGATGTAAGAAAGATCCATTGTTTATGATAGACAAAACGCCGAATCTGAAAAATCTCGAGTATTTAAAGACAAATACGCATACAAAAAAATATGCCGAGAAAAGCAGGAAGAAACAAGATCTATCCTGGGATAAAACTACATCCGAATCGTTCATTCCGTTAACGGTCAAACCGTCAAATGTTAAGCTAGACACATTGAAATGTTCGAACAGCAATAAAAGAAAAAGGCAGCACGCCGATATTGTGGATCCGAGTCCCACAAAATCAAATGCACACCACAGCAAAAAGAAAATCTATTTGGGCGAAAAGAATTGGCGGCACGGTGATAATTTGGATTCAAGTTTTGCAAAGATGAATGCACACCAAAACAAAAGGAGAATTTATTGGGAAGAAAGGAATAGCCAAACGAAGTCAACGCGCAAATTAAGAGAGATAATTGTTGACGGTTGCAACGTGGCAATGGCGTATGATTTTTTTTTAATCATGCATATTATTGATGAATTTTCGTAAAGTGCAAAATATAGTTATAAAATTTATAAAGATTGCAATACACTTTGTGTATCTTATTTCAATTTGAGCAGCATATATCTTTATCTTTTAGCCATACAAACGGTAAAGAATTCTCAGAAAAGGGTATCCAAATAGTAGTAGATTTTTTTAAATTGAGGGGTCACAACGTGAAGGTTTTCTTACCACAACACGTCCGAAAAAAAGAACATACGTTTCTTGAGAAATTGTACAAAGAAGGCACGGTCGTGTTTACACCTAGCCGCCTCATTGATGGCATAAAAATTACATCGTACGATGATCGGTATACAATCGCCATATTTTTATTATACGTATAAATAGAAAAATAGAATAAGTATATTTTATTACATTCTTTACCTACAAAGTGAAAATTATTTCTATACAGTAAAATGTCTTATATTTTCTAACAATATATAATACTAGACGTTGTATATAAGTAAATTACGCGTTGTATATATAAACGTTTTTTTTTTTACAGAGGTATAAATTAATTATCAATCTCTCGATATTCGTACTTTACACAAAATAGCTTACTTTCGTATCAATCTGTTAATACTTTCTTGTTAATAGCAAAGCAATACACTAAGTTATGATAAACCTTTCTGTTCCTCTGCTTTTATTGTTTATTATTGTTTATGTGGAAATAATTAGAAACTTTCTATATATTAAAACATATGAGACGTATTAAAAATTTAGATCTCGACGCTTTCTCATTGGTTTTTTTTTCATTGCAGATATATTTTGAAATATGCGACGTCGTGTGGAGGAATAGTGATTTCCACAGATCAATATAGAGACCTGTACAGAGAGAAACCGGAATGGCGTAGTACAATTCTGAACCGTTTACTGATACCCACCTTTGTCGGAGATTATATAATGTTCCCGGAAGATCCGTTAGGCAGATTTGGGCCTAATCTCGAGACATTTTTACGGCATTGATAACGTTATTCTTATACATTATTCTTGTAAATTTGGATATCAAGCCTGATTGAATGTCTTGTTACCGAGAGACTGCATACCTTTCGTACCATATTTTTATTTCAGATCTTTCTATTCATTTTTCTTTTCTTTATATACGTCCAAGACGTGCCATTTCACGTTTTAACTCAAATAAAAAATAATTTACAATTAAATTTTTCTAAATATTAATTTTTTTTTTTAATAAAAGTGCATGTGCATTTTTGCATACTTGCATATTTGCATGTTTGCATACTTGTATATGCATTTTTATGAGAACTGAATTACAATAAATAAATAATAAAGAAAAAGAATGAACATGAATGATGGACTTGTTTTGTGTGAAATACGAAACGTGTACGAAATATTGTACAATTGATAATTTATATATTTTCTGTAATAAAATGCGTTTATATGTACAAGGAGTGTTGTTGTGACATTATAAAAAATATTCTTTTACTTAAAATCTTATCTGTTAGTAAGAATGCTGTGTAACAAACGTATATGCGAGGTAAGTTGTTCAAAAAAATTTTTTAAATAAAAGATAAAAAATTAATTTTATTTCATATTTTGTATAGTTGCAATTTTTTCACAGCTCATCATTTGAGATATGGGAATGATATAATCCTACATTTATAAACTTTTTGTAGAAAAATAAATAAATATGCAAAATCGCTATAAACTGTATACTGTTTAGCCTACGCTGGTCTCCAACAATGTTTTCCCGATTGATGAATGAAGTCCATACTTTCTTGCGCCGATTCACGTGCGAAACGTTGCATTGCGTTCTCACTGCCACTATTATGACACGCATTCGATAACACTGCTTCGTGTTTGAAGGCTGAGCTAACAGCTGAAATAGTTTTACATATATTTTAATTCAATAAAAATACTTAATATATATTATAAGTATTTAGCTCATTATGAGTCAGTAATTGAGATACTTGGATATATACGTAAAATATATAATTATTAAATATAAACTGAATTTAAGTATAAAATTTGTTTTAGCGTAATATATCGATTTACTTGATTTGGCGAATAGCTTTCTCAAGACGTAGTCATCGTCTGCTGTCGAAACTGATTCTTCTTTTTCATCGGAACGTCCCAGGCGACGACCGATCAGACAAGAAACACGTTCTCCCTCAAAGATCGCGGAAACATTTGTCTTGCCCGAATGCGAGTCTCTTTTGTGCTTCTTGTGTTTACGAGTAGACGATGACTTGATTTTATCGTCATTTAAATTATTCTGCTTTTCTACAGAACTGTTATTTGGAGATCTCACTGGAATTACATCCTGTTCACAATTGTTTTTTTTTAATGTGTTTTCATTTTCTATATTGCTATTTCTTTCAATGGTTGCATCGGAATTCGTATTGAAATCTTCATTAGGTTTGCTCGGCGTTTTTTGTGTATTGTTCTGATCGGAAGATAAGCTTTGGTCCACAAGCGAATCATTTTCCACGGCGGGAGCTTCGTGAACGTGACTCGAATTATCGTTTTCTTCGTTGGACTTTCTTTCGCAAGTGCTGTTTGCATTTTCATTTTCATCGCGTTTCGATACATTGGCGCTTATTTTCTTGCTGAGAATCGACGCTAATTTTTTCATCTCCTCGATCTTACTGAGAGAAAAGCCACCGGACACAGGTGTATATTTAGATTCTCTAAATAAGCGATCCGATTCAGAAAACTCGCCGTCTATCGGCTCGTTTAGATTGAATAACTCCACCAGATCCGTCGTTTTGAATAGACGTCGTTGGCGCGGATCGTCAAGAACTTTGTTTGAAAGCAATAGCTTGAAAATCTGTCTGTGGTACATCTGAAAAGAAAGAAGCAGATTGATTTACTACTTGACGTTTTCCGGGCGGGCGGCGGATTCATGTGGTGTGCCGTTTGTTTTCTCTCGCGGTTTTTAATCAAATCTTACAAATGTATTCCGTAATTCTGATATCTTTCTTTTACTTCTTATATATATTTCTTTTACTTTTCATATATTTTTCTTTTATTTTGTTCATATATTTTTTTACCATTACGATCTGTGGAATATAATAATCTACTCTGTTACCAACCTTTTCCTCTATCGTACCAGCGGTAATTAATCTATAGATAGTGACTTGTTTATTTTGGCCTATTCTCCACGCACGTTCTCTCGCTTGAGCGTCCGTTGCTGGATTCCAATCGGGATCGTAAATAATCACTCGATTTGCACCAGTCAGATTTACTCCCAGACCTCCTACGCGCGTCGTCAGCAGGAACACGAAATACGATGTGTCCTTCGGAAAAAAAAAGGAAAAATTAATTTTTATTCAAGGATGTATTATTTATCCCCACCGTGAATCTTTCAAATGATTAACACGTACATTGTTAAATTTGTGAATTGTTTGCTGCCGCTGAGACATTACTGTTGTCCCATCCATTCTCAAATAAGTATACCTCTCATTTTGCAAAAGAGACTCCAAAACGTGCATCATCTGTAAAAAAAAAAAGTATAGCAATGAATATTCAGAATTTAAATTCTATGTTCTGTGTACTGTTTAAAAGATCATTTACCTGTCTTCCCTGAGTAAAAAGCAGCACTCTGTGTCCTTGCTTCTGCCAGATTTTCAGAAGAGATCGAACCACGGTCATTTTTCCAGCACGTTTCCAATAACCGAACTTCTCTAAGTGTTCTTCGGACAAGTCGATATCTTCATCGGAATCCTTAAATAAAAAAAATTAAGTTTATAATCTTATAAATTGACTGTTATTATGTTAGCCCGTGATCTTACTTGTTCTCTGGTGTACAAAAACAAGTCCGGATGATTGCATATCTTTCTCAATGCTGACAAGGCAATGAGAAACCTCGCCCTGTATCTTCCACTGTCTTGCCGATTATTTCTCTCGTGAAGAACAAAGGACACATCATCGGAGCCCAGATACTTTTTATACAGTTTCTTCTGCTCATCCGTTAAGCTGCAAAATAACACCTGAGAAGGAATAAATACATTAATTCAATAAAGCTATTCAGAAGGATAAAAATAAGAATAATATTATCTGCAACAAAGACATATCTAGTGTAAGAAAAACAAATAGAAAAACCTGCTCATTTTTCTCCGGTAGGGTAAGATGATGTTTCACATCGGTCTTTGTTCTTCGAAGCATGTATGGCGTGATAGTATTTTTCAACATAGTGGCTATTTGGAGGGCCGTTGCTTCCTGTAACGGTGTAGCGTTCGCATAACCGCCGCGTGTTATGGGAGCCGCGCAATGTTCCAGAAATACAGGCAGAGTGCCTAGTTTGCCGGGCAGAATGAAATCGAACAAAGACCATAGTTCTTTCAAAGAATTCTGCATCGGACTACCACTCAACAGTAATCGATGCGGTGTCGACAATCGTTTCACCGCTTGGCT